GTCAGCCACAGGGCAGGGGCTGGGAGGGTTGTACAGGGCTGCCTTTTGCTTCCTTGAGGAGCCATTGGGTGTCTTCTTATAAAGCTTAGCAGTAAATCCTTTTCTATGAAAAAAAAAGAAACCCTAACAGGCAAAAGAATATGAAAAGTTCTAGGTCAGTTTCCCCACACTAAAGGTCTTGCCCTAATGACATTAATTTGCCTTCTTTACTCTTATCACAACCTCTGGTACAGTGTATGACACCAGATTTCAGCAAATATTAATTGAAAAAATAATTATAAAAATACCACATATGAGCAGCTGTTGGGACACACACCTGTAATCCCAGCACTCAGGAGGCTGAGGCAGGAGGATCACTGAGTTTGAGGCCAGCCTGAACTGTATAGCAAGACCCTTTCTAGTCACAAAAGGAACACTACAGACAGCTTCGAACAGTACTGTGCCTTCCGGGTGGCTGTCCCTAGCAAGGCCCAGGTGGCCCAAGCCTTGGATGAGTGGGACCTGTACACCCAGAAGCTGCCTCTCGTGACTGGGCAGACATGAACTGTCACCTCTGTGGCCATGGGCCTTGGTCATCTTCATGGACTCAGAGAAGTCAGTAACGCTGCCTCCCTCTGCCAAGGGTACATCTACCAAGGGCAAAGACAGACCATGTCCTCCGGGTTCTAACTCTGGGTGCCTGGAAGGAAAATCATGGCTGGGCCCCCAGGTGCCCATGAGGAAGGGCACCTGAGCCTTGAGTGTCTTGTCATCAGGGTCTGAGCACTGCCCCATCCCCAGCCTGTGACTAACCTAGATCACGGGACCCAACATGGGGACTTTGTTTCCATATACTGCTCTTGATTGTGTGTGTGTGTGTGTGTGTGTGTGTGTTTTGAGACAGGGTCTCTAACTGATCTAGCAGATAACCCTACGTGCTTTACACATGCATGAATCCTATCCATACAATATTAAAGACAGACCTGTCAGGTTAGCCACCATAGATTACATTTGATAGGTGTCTTCCCCAGCCAGCTTCAATTGCACTTTTCCGGGGCATTTCCAGCCAAGTGCGATCCCACCTACCCAGGCCTGCCGGGTCCCCTGCTGCCCTCAGAGCTCGAGGGTGGGGGATAGCGCTGTGCCTTTGGCAGAGGAGGAGCTAGGTGAGGGCAGCTGGCCCTCCCCTCTGTGGAGCACACCTCTAACTCTTGGGAGACGGACCTGTCTGATCGCAGCCTGAAATCCCTGGCAGTGGCTGCTCCTGTTCAGCCCCGCCTGGGGCCAGCCTCGCTGCCTGCTGTCTGGCATGGTGCCACCCTTGGGCCTGTCTGTGTCCACTTGGGGCACCTGTGGGTCCCTCTAGATCTGGGGCCCCACTGACCACTGTGGGCATTGGCACATGCAAGGCCTGCTGGAGGAAGTTGGGAGGGCTTCAAAGGATAAGCCCAGCCGGGCATGGTGGCACACACCTATAGTCCCAGTATTCAGGAGACTGAGGCAGGAGGATCGCCAAGAGTTCAAGACTAACCTGGACTACATAGAGAGACCCTGTCTCAAAAAACTAAGACAACAAAGGATTAGCCAGGACTCCAGATCCAGGCCTGTATGAATGGAGTGTCCTGGCCACCAACCATGGAAGCTACAGCCTACAGCTTGAGTACATTCACTGAGGCCTGAGAAGCCCGACATCAGTGTACTTGACAGATGCTGTGTCACCCTCACAGACTGCCTTTAGCCGAGTCCTCCCTTGACAGAAGAGGCAAAACATCATCCCTCTTCCTTAGGGCACCAGTCCCATCCTGAGGGAGAGGCCATCAGGGATCTGGGATCCTATTGTCTCGTAATGGCTCCCTCTCTTCACCCCACTGATTGGGACAGGGTGTCAGCACCTGAGGTGTGAACACAGTTGGGGACATGGGCTCACACTCCGTGGGCTGCATGGCAGGGCGTCTAGGGCCGGCCGCGCCTGTCATCGGTGGCACCCACTCTGCCAGCCTGCATTGATGCAGCAGTGCTGGCTCCCTTACTCCCTGATGCCATCCGGGCCCTTAACAGTGATCTACCACGCATCACCACATCAGTTTTTCTAATGGACAGGCACAAACGCTTTTAGTTTAGAGTTTTGGTTTGGTATAGGGTTTTTTTGTTGTGTTTTGTTTGTTTTTTGTGGTACTAGGGATTGAACCCAGGGCCTCATACAAGCTAGGTAAGTGCTCTACCACTGAGCTATATCTCTGAGCCTTTTATTTTATTTTTTGATACTGGGGATTGAATTCAGGGCCTTTGGATTGAGCTGTATCCACAGCCTGTTTTTCAAGTTCCAGCCCAGCCTGAGGAAGACCCCATCTCAGAATGATAAAAAGGCTGGAGATACAGCCCCTTTTAATCCCTGAACTCAATAATTCCATCAATCAATCACTAGATAAATAGGGCTGGGGATGTAACTCAGCACTACCTGGTTCTATTCCCAGTACCAAGGGAGGAAATCATGGAATAAGAAAAGCAGGTGTGGTGGCCCAGACCTGTGATCCCAGCACTAGGGATGCTGAGGCAGGAAGATCATCTTGAGTTTCAGGCCAGCCTGGGCTACATAGGGAGACCCCATTAAAAAAAATACTCTTTAAAAAATAAAAAATAAATACTCTTCAAATACATATACAAATACAATTCCTATCAATTCCAGCTGCCTGTTTTTGCAGAAATCGAGCCAATTCTAAAACTTATAATTCCAGAGGGCCAGGGATTTACCTCAGTGGTGCCAGCACCTGCCTCCCAAGCACAAGGTCCTGAGTTCTATCCCCAGTACAAAAAAAAAAAAAAAAAAAATCCTAAAATTTATAATTCCAGACACCCTGAACAATCGAAACAATCTTGAAAAAAAAAAGTTGGAGGACACACTTTCTGATTTCAAAACTTACTACAGTAAACTCAAGATTTAGCTACAGTAATAGTAATCAAGACTAAGGGTACACATATGGATGAGAGGAATAATACTGAAAGACTAGAAATACAGCCATAAATTTATGGTCAATTGACTTCAACAAAGGTGCCAAACATATTCTGTGAGGAAAGAACGCTCTCTTTACAAGATGCTATAACAGGGGCTGGAATTTAGCTCGGTGGTTCTGTTGCCTGCCTCACAAGTGCAAGGACCTGAGTTCGATTCCTGGTACCAAAAAAAAAAAAAAGATGCTATAACAAATGGATATCCACATGCAAAAGAATGAAATTGGACCCCTGACTCACACCATATACAAAAATTAACTCAAAATGGCTCAACAGCTGGGCATCGTGGTGCACGCCTGCCATCCCAGCACTTGGGAGCTGAGGCAGGAGGATCACCCCGAGTTCAAGGCCAGACTGGGCTACATAGTGAGTTCAAGGCCACCCTGAACTATATAGCAAGACTCTGTCTGAAAAAAACAAGAAAACTCAATAGAAGTCACACAACATAACAGAAACCCTTGGCTATAATGTGAATAGCTGGGAAATTTCCCATGTAATAGGTTCCCAAACGTTATAGGTGTTTAGAGAGGCATGCAGAGGGCAGCATGGGCTGAAGAGAAGGGAGATGAAAGGGACTTTGCGGGGATAGGGATGTAGCTCCCTGGGTTCAGTCCTCAGCACAAGAAAATAAAAACGTTAATGGAAACGACATTTTTCTGCTCGTGTGTAGGGTTAGGGTTCATATTGTGATTTATGTAATTTAAACATTTTAAAAATTATTTGTTGGGGATTTCAGTATTATTGCGTGGGATTTTTTGTTTTTGGACAGGATTGGGGGAGAGAGAAAGGGCAGTCGGTGACTCCATCAACGGCGTGGTTGAAAAGACAGCCCTGTTAGCGCGCCCCCTAGCGGGACGGAGGTCAGCGAGCCCAGCCCCGCCTCCTCACTCCCGCTCCTTGCGGACTGGGCAGTAGAGTTGCGGTGCCCAGAAGCCGCAGGGAGGGTCCGGGGAAGGAGAGCACTTGAGGCGTCCGGGCACCAGGCAGGGGTGCGCTCTGAGTTCCCGGGCCGGTGGCCGAGCTGTCGGTACCCACAGGTGCTAAGTGCCCACCACGGGGCTGTTCTTGCTGTCCCCAAGAGGTTGCAGTCACCAACACCTTTCGCGTCTGGTTTAGAGCCCTGCGGGTCCCACATACGAGCTGCTGTAAAATCGGGGTTGGTGGTACACGCCGGTAATCCCAGCACGCTGGGAGGACTAGGCAGGAGGATCGCGAGTTGGAGCCCACCATGGACAACTTGTGAGAACCTGTCTCAAAAAATTTTAAAAATTATTTTTAAATTTAAAAGGGGCTGGGCCGGGGATTTAGCTCAGTGGTTCCGCTGCCTGCCTCGTAAGCGCCAGGTCCCGAGTTCGATCCTCAGTACCAAAACAAAAAAATAAAAAAAATAAAAGGGGCTGAAGATGTAGCTGAGTGCAAAGGCCTTGGGTTCAATACCAAAAATGAAGCAGCCACTGTAATGCACAGTTCGTTCCCCTCTCTCAGGCGAGGAGCAGCAGGACAGGTCAGAGCCCAACAAGGTGGGGAAAGGGCAGCTTAGTGAGGAAAGGTGAAGACAGCCTTGTCCGCTGCACTTTTTTTTTTTTTTTGGTACCGGGGATCGAACTCAAGACCTTGTTTGTGCTTGCCAGGCAGGCGGTGGCACCACTGAGCTACATCACTAGCCCCCGCTGCACAATTTTGCTTGGAATTGCTCTGAACTCCAGGCAAGCCCCTGCCTATTCTTTGCCTCAGTTTCCCTATTGATCTTCCCAGACAATATTTTATCTTAAAAACAGCGGGTGAGTCAGACATAGTGGCCCACGCTTGAAATCCTAGCACTTGGGAGGCTGAGGCAGGAAAATTGCCGTGAGTTTGAGTCCAACCTGGGCTACTTAATGAGTTCAAAACCAGCCTGAAGTTGCTGTCTCAAATAAACAAGGGCCAGGGATTTAGCTCAGTGGTTTCACCACCTGCTGTGCAAGCGCAAGGACCCGAGTTCAATCCCCTATAAAACTATTCAAACTATAAAAATAAAAAAATAAACTAAACTAAACAAAATCAAAGGACTTCAATGGTCAACAAGGCTCATGAGCTGGTAGCACAGCAGAACACCCCCTTTAGGCCTGGCTTGACCCAGCAGCTCACAGATATCCCCCTTTCACGATTTTCTTGTCTTTCCCATTCATGTCAGCTTCATCACAGTGACAAAACGTGTCTTGCTGCGGCTCAGGCAATGACCTCACATCTCACATCTCAGAGCCCAGACGGAGCTGGAAAACATCTGTCCCAGAGGCCCCCGCCAGAGTTCCCTCCACTGTTCTTAACCACAGCCCACGCTCTGGCCAGGTAAGGGACGGTCATGGGGAGGTCAGTGTGTTCCTGGGCCACCTGCCCAACCCATCCCAGGGGTCAGCAGGGCACTGAGAAGGACCCCGAGGACTGAGGTCATGGGTGGCCCCCAACTGATGAGCACTGCTGCCAGAAGCTCGTCAGTAGTTCACTTCCACATCCATGGTGTGTGTGGGGGTCATCATGTCTCTCCTTGGGTGTGACAGCTGAGTGCTGCCGTCATCATTGGGTGGCAGTGGCCACCGTGACCCCTGGAAGAATGTCCCCAGGGGCTGCTTCCCTTCTGAGGAAGGAAGGGCAGATCACCACCATGCTGGCTGCCACCTCCCCGGGAGGGTGCGGTGTACCAAGGCGACCAGCAAGAGGCAGCACTGAGGAGCATCCGGCCCTGGTCATCTGGGGGCTGCCACCCCTGCCTAGAAGGAGCCAGGGCCTGGCTTAGGTCCCCCACAAACGGGGTGAGAAGCCGCGGGCAGAAGCCGGGGGCCTGGCAGCTGCTTCCTGGGCATCCGCTGACTGCCATTTCTGTGGACAGATGGGGCCTATTGCTGATTTGCAGAGCTCGGTCTAGCAGCTTGGAAGTTAGGGCACTGTCAGGACTGGGCCCAGAGCTGTGCCCAGCAGGGACTGTGGCCGCAAGAGGCAGGGCACCCAGGAGGCCTTGAGCTTAGAGGACAGGAGAGCCCACCTGTCCACGGAGACACAGCTGGAGGTGCATGTGGGCGCAGCAGTGCAACAGGGTGGCCTTAGGCTTCTGTTCATTGAGACAGGGCAGGAGTGACAGAGTGGCCCTGCAGACCCAGATGCACACCTGAGGGTGGGAACAGGACTGAAGGCAGTGCTGAGGGCCAGCCCTGGCCCATGCCTGGCCATGACCCTCCCTCATGCCCTGCTGACCCCTGCTCTGTGCCCTCCTCCCTGTCCCTGCCTTGTCACACCCAGCTGCACTGCCACCCTCTCTGTGGCTGTGAGCCTTCACCACCCTGGGTTCCTCTGGAGTTCACGAGGCCTGGGGGCCACACACCTTGAGGACCCCCGACACGTGCGGCCAAGTCTCTCATAGGAAGGAAGGGATCTGCCTGGGGACTCACAGTGAAGTGGCATTTCCCATCAGCCTCTCTTCCTGTCCTGATGCCCCCACCCTGCTCCCCAGGGCCCCAGACCTCAGCTCCAAGACTGTCCTGAGCAGGGACATGACCTTTGTCCCCTGCCCTCTGGGAGGGTAGAAAGGAAGAGGCACCACACCCAGCCTGCACAATCACCTGAGAGAGCCCTCAGCCCACCCAAGCTCACCAGTGCCTGTGGGAAAGAAGCAAGTCAGTGGGACTTGAGCTTGGAGGGTGACAGGATGGCAGGTGTTCAGGACTCACTGCTATGGGTTGGGCAACAAAGGTGTCTCAGTTACTTTCTCGTTGCTCAGACAAAATACCCGGCACTCACAAGTTAAAGGAGGAGAGGTTTATTTTGATTCACAGTTTGCGGAGGTTTCAGTCCATCCTCAGCTGGCTCCAAGGGGCATGGCAGAGAGGAAACAGTCCATGGTGTGGCAGGCAGGAAGCACTGAGCCTTCCTTCTTCTTTCCCTTTTTATTCCATCCAGGCTATAAGCATATTGGTCGGTGCCACCTACACCCAGGATGAGACTTCCCACTTTAGTAAATCCACCATCCACACCCAGAGCTGTGCTAAACCCGTCAATAGACTCATCCAGTATCACACACCCATGATCTAGTCACCCCCAAAAGCCCCACCTATGAGTGCATGAGGCTTCAGGGGGACATCTAGATACAAGCCATAATGAGGGGAACTGTGCATCGTGGTCCACGGCTGTAATCCTAATACTTGGGAGGCTAAGGCAGGAGGATCACTGTGAATTCAAGGCCAGCCTGGGCCACATAGTGAGACCCCATCTCAAAAAAACCAAAAAAAAATTAAGATTACAAGTTCAAGAGAAAAGATTACAAGCCCCCTCCCATTTTTAAATGCTCCACAATAAGTATTTATTTATTTTATAATTAGACTAATTCTGTTGGGTTTTTTTGGCACCAGGGATTGAACTCGGGTCCTTGCATTTACACAGCAGGTGGCAAAACCACTGAGCTAAATCCCCAGGCCCTAATTAGAGTAATTCTTTAGGAAGCAGTTTCTGCAGTGTCAGCAGTCATGGCCAATGTCACCGTGGAAAAACACCCAGGAGGTCAAAGACCTGCTTACCGCCCTGCTGCAGCATCGGGCTGTCTCCCTGGACACTTGTCCCCTTCTGCATGTCCACCCTTTCCAGCAGGGCCAGTCACGAACCCACTGTAAGGCAGCCAACAACGCTGATGCTTCCTGAGAAACAAACCCAGAAGCTGGTATGGTGATGGCCATGCCGCCCAGGCTCGGCCAGGGGAGGGGCCGGCCCTTTGTCCTTGGGGTAGGGTGGGACTAGGTGACTAAATACTCAAGTGTACCACTGAGTCCTAGGTTCATATTCCTGGCTCACAGTGCCCTTCAGAAAAATGTGGCTTCCTTTATGGCAGAGGCTTATAAACTCGAATAACTTAAAGGGCCAGAAATGGTTGTATTTAAATTTTTTAAAAAAATTTGTTTTGAAACAGGATCTTGCTCTGTAGTTCAGGCTGGTCTTGAATTCTGTAGCCCATGCTGGCCTCAAACTCACAGCAGTCCTCCTGCTTCAGCCTCCCAAGTGCTGGGATTACAAGTATGTGCCACCATGGCTGGCCTTTTTATTGTTTTTGTCATTAAATTTTTTTTTGGTACTGGGGATCAAACTCAGGACCTTGCACTTGCGAGGCAGGCGTGGTGCCACTGAGCTAAATCCCTGGCCCAGCTGTTATCAAATTTTTAAAAATTTAAAATTTAAAAACATCCAGAAGTATAATCACACTTTCTTTTATGTGGTATAAGGGGTAACAAACATGCACAATGCCAGAGATTGTACTCCACATATGACACTGAAGAATATAATTTGAAAATAGAAATTACTCTTCAAAGTTTTATAATTTATTACTCCTTAGATTTGAAATTTGAAATTTGCCATTCTTTTCTCACACTCAAAGGTGTGAGTCTTGTCAGGTTGTGAATTCTGTGTAGCCACGGGCAGCAGAGGACTCATCTTTGAACCCTTTAACAGGGAGCAATGTTTACTTTTATTTAGTTTTATAATAGAAAGCAGCTGCTTAGAAACATCAGAACTTCCAAACATGGACAGAATGTGCGCCCAGTGGTTTTTACAGTCAGGGTCACCGTTCCGGAGACAGCACTGTTATGTTTGGTTTTCAACGTGGCACAATTCAGTAACTCCCACTCGAATCTCTTCATTCCCATGATGACTATTTACACAGAATTGGGCCGGGGACTTAGCTCAGTGGTGCCGCACCTGCCTCACAAGCACAAGGTCCTGAGTTCGAGCCCCAGTATTGAAAAAAAAATTGCTCAGAATTGAACATTAGTTTATTTTCACGGTTTGAAACCAGAGGACCTCATTTGCAGCTCAGTCTTCCACGCTCTCATTTTTGGAGTGCGGTTCCCCCCATCACGTTCGTCTTCAGAAACGCATTTCAACGCATGAGTTCCCAATGACACAGTTTTGCTAGGACAGAGGGGGCTGAGGTGGGCACTGGGCCTGCCGCTTGTGAGTGCCCTTGGGGAGGAAGAGCCAGGGCGTTTGGAACAATCCTGACCTCAACCCAGGGGACGAAAGCTTTGGCCCTGGCTGCTAGAGAACCGTGATCCGCAGTGCAGAGCTCCCCTTCCGCAGACATTAGAGTCCAGAGGTGCAGACACTGCCCATGCACCTTCCAGGCCCAGCCACTTTCTCTCAGGGGTAGAACGGGCTTCCGCACTGTGTAGGGGACTCTCGGAGGGACCGCTGATACCCACGGGAAGCCTCCAGGCTGTGGGATAAAGGCTGCAGCCCTGACCAGACCCATTTTTAGCGCAGTGACTCCTAGAGGTGAGGCCATGCACAGACTTGAGCTCTGCATCTTTGAGAAGCCCTGCCCCTTGGACTTAGGCATTGATACATGAACACAAACCATCAGAGTTTACTGTCTGGTCTAACACTGACTAACATGGACCATTCCACATTCAACCTTTTTGTTGTTGTTGTTTTGTTGTGGTTTTGAGTCAAGGTCCCTCTATGTAGTCCAGGCTGGCCATGAACTCACTATATAATCCAGGCTGGCCTCAAATTTGCAGCAATCCTCCTGCCTCAGCCTCCTGAGTGCTGGGATTACGAGTGTGTACTGGGTCAGGGATTTAGCTCAGTGGTTTTGCCGCCTGCTGTGCAAGGACCTGAGTTCGATCCTCGGTACCAAAAAAACAATAAAAACCCAAGTGTGCACCAGCATGCCCAGCTCAGATGAAACCTTTTAAGACTTTTCTCAATACACAAGCACAAGTAATCCCCTGATGGCATGCCTGCCGTGGGTGCTGTACCCAAAAGTTCTTCAGTCACATTCAAAGTTTTACCGACACCAGAATAAACACGGCTACCTGGAGGCAACCTTTAGTCACAACTGACTCAGCTCTGCAAGTTCTTGGCCACAGTGCCCACGTGTGGAGCGACGACAGTGTCACTTAGTCTTACATCTGCAAATGCTTGTCTCTCTTCAGGGCACAATTTCTGTTGCACTCAAAAGACATTCTGTATAAACTCACCATCTGTGCAGGGTTTTGATGCCTGGGCAATTTTCTCACATAACCCTTAAGTACATTTCATAACATTGTCGCTTATTTTATTCACATTCAAAAGCAAATCATGTTGAAATTTCAGTCTTTTTTTTTTTTCAGTTCATTGCTTTTTTTATATGTGTCTTTTCAGTCCACCACCATGGCTCTTACCAGGACTTATTTCATAATTGTACAGTGCATTATATTCTTTTCACACAGACAGATTCTGTGTGGATATTAAACGTGTAGGAACATTCTTTACTTCCATAAGGAAATCAGCTTGCTCCCATTTTTCTTGGAAAGTGTGGCTTTCTTGTTCTA